TTCTGATGCATGATCACTCATTTCATCCATTCTCATACACGTATTCGCACATTCATTCATACCATCATTCATTCATCCCATACATCCAAAGCATTGCATATGCAAATTGATGCATCACAACACTTCATATTGCGTCACAAGGCGGTAGTTGCCTCATTCAACATGAGCAATGACCGACAGGGGTTCGAAGGCCAGCCCACGAAGGGCTCGAGGCCGCCTCGCGTCAAACAGAGCCAGGGGAGAAAACACAGATGTGCCCCAGCGGCCCTCACCCGGTATGCTCAGAAAGCACACTAGGTCATCTCGACCTTCTCGTTCGTTCCTAACCTCAAGCCATGCCCATAGAATCTCCATCGAGGGAAGGCCAGCGGGCCACCTGAGTCGGTCTCCGAAATGACCCAAGCATCTACCGGGAGGCGGGTTAAGGAGCAGTGGAATGCCACATGAGGGCTATGCCGACCCCGTCATGAACGACAGACCCGGATTCCACTCGAACGCACTGGTTAGTGAGCTCACTGAGCGTGTCACTTGAGCCATCGAGGCAAGCGACGTTAGCTCAGCCCCTCCAGTTGTGGAAACCGCGGACGGGGTAACACACGGAACTAGACCCGCGTCTTCCGACCGGGAATACACCAAGCCTCTACCTACGGCTCTTCTCCGACCGGTGTGGTCGGAGCCGACTGGGAACGATCGAACGGGGACGCCCGCTCGGTGAGGACCTGAGAAATTAGGCGGAGCAGATAAGGTAAGGCGCACAAGTCAACCGTAATACCAAGGACCGTACCCTGCACACGTTCAGGACAGTACTGTCAGGGCATGTCCGAAGGGTACTTTGCAACCTTCCAGACATGTCAGGACATGAACAGTGTTATGGGCGCCGACATTTGTCCTACAGTATGGTAGGCGCCGACATTTGCCATACCAGAAGAATACGATGGAACCAACCACATACATCTGGGCGTCAACATTATTGTAGGCGCTGACAAACCGTCTCGTACCCGACAGCGTGGGCAACAAGACTAGGTAGCATACACTCCCTCTCTCTCACTTGTAAGGTCGTCCCCTTCATCTATAAAAGGGGATGCGCTCTCTCCTAAAGGAAGAGGATCGATTCGACGAACAACAGACAACACACGGATCATTCCGACTCACTCTCTGATAGCTTTAGACATTCTAAAGCTACACAAAGCATACGTTCCAATACTTAGCACATGTAGGAGCTCCCGTCACTCTCGATCCTTCGGTCCAGAGTCCGACCGGACCTCTGATACCCTCCATCTTATTCCCACTTGTTTGTAACCCCACAACAAACTTCGAGCACCTGGGCTCAGAAATAAAGTCACCGACTGACTCAAACTGGACGTAGGGCACGTTATCTGAACCAGTATAAACCCTGTGTCATTGAGGCTAGGCCATATCCGATCACAACGTACGGCAAAACGACAAATATTTACTAGTTGGTCACTTTTCGCACCGACACTAAATATCTTTCTATCTATCTAAATCACTACCACACTAACCAACTAATAACCACTGTTAAATAATAAAATTTAAAAACTAATGTACCTCAAGTGCAGGGGAGGCGCGGCCGATCGACAAGAGGCAGATACGGCTGGTAAGGAAGTTGTCGTGCGCCCACGCGTGCACCCGGGCGGCAACTGGAGTGGCCAAGCGGGCGGGGGCGGGCGGCCACAGGAGGCTAGCAAATGGCACCCCGCTACCGGCCTATGGCCCCCGCTGCCCTTGTGGAGCGAGCAAGAGAGGGCGGCGCTGTAGGCTCCGGCGCGGTCGCGGTCGTCCGGGTTTGACGACGGGTAGGGCGGCACAGCAGTCGTGGCGGGGCACGACGCCTCGTGGCTCGGCGCGCAGGGTGGGGATGGGCGCGGCCGGGAACTCCCAGCCGATGCGGCGCAGCATGGCGCGCGGGGCGGGGCGCGGCTGGCCGGCGCGTGGAACGAGGCGTGGGCCGGGGCGCGCGGCCGGCCGGGGCACGGGTCACGGCTGGCCGCGGCGCCGGTGCTCGGGGCGGGCTCGCCTATCGGCGCGGAGTGGCGCGGCGCGCGGGGCTGGGCGGGCTGGCCACGGCGCCGGTGACAGAGGCGTGAGAGAGAACGGGAGAGGAAGAGAGGAGAGGAAGGAGGAGAGAAAGAAAACGGACCCACCTGTAAGGCCGGAACGGTGCCATGATATCTGGCGTCGGGCTCGGTGCCAAGATCTACGGCGCTAAGCTCGGTGTCAAGATCTGTGGCGCCAAGGTGCCTGCCAGGTCACCACCACGTTTTCATTAACGCCTACGTGGCCCCAAAACTTAGACGCCATATGCACTGGCGCCGAGACGTGTAAGCTCGGCGCCAATTACTCCGGCGCCGAGTTAAGGGTCCATATTTTGAAATCATACCTTCAGGGGCACATTTGTGAAGAACTTTCAAAAAAGGGGGAAAAAACCAAAAAAATCGGGTATGGCACTTCCATTTTCCTTGGGCCCACCGAGGATTACCAATGCTAGAATCTGTATTGATTCTGTCAGCTGTTTGCCTGCAGATGGTTATGTGCCGCTTCAACGAGGCTAAAGCAATCCATTCCATACAACTCTGTACAAAATTGATGTAAGTTTGTTTTGGTCTTGATTTTTATGGTGTAAATTTCATGTATTTGTTTTGTTTGATTTATTTCTTGAGAAGTTGGAGCTCTTGAAGATTTGTCCTTACCAGTTTGTATTATCAGTTTTACAATAGCGGGTATCTCATTACGCCGGTTGCTGTCCTTTCTTGGATTACTGAAATTTCTGTTGGGGTTAAACTATCTGCTGTCTGAAACTCTGGATAGCATGCTGTGCTAAGAACAGCTCATGATAAAATATATATAATTGCTCATGTAAAGAGGTGTAGAACAAAGAGGTCGTGACCCAGTGATTTCGTTTCCCTTCTATTTTGTAATCGTCCAGTTGGTTTGACTACGGTTGAAGGAATTTGATACTGCTACAGAGATATGAGAAGAATACAATTCAGTGTCCAGAAGATAGTGAACTGCTGGGAGCAAGGTGAAATTGAATGAAGGTGAAAAAGGAGACTTGAAGAAATCCGTGGGAATGTGCATATGTTCAAGCCTTGTGTCAAATACATAAATGCACCCTACTTGACATGACTGAGCATCACACAACACGTTTGCAAAGTTTGGTTAGTTTTGGGAGAGCGGTAGCTATTTCTTGTGCAAGATTAAATGTGAGCAAACGATCTGAAATTTAAATATTTGCATGTAGAGAAAATACTTAGGCATTGTATTGGATAATACTAAGGATAATGTATGCAAAATGTAACGTACAAATGTCACATAACATGTTTGCAAAAATTGATGAATTGGAGCACATCTGTTATTTCTTTGAATCGAAAGGTTAAATGGGAGTGACGATCTGAATTTTCCAACAGTACATAAGCTGTGAATGTCGAGAAATTCAGAAAACGCTTAGTTAGTTTTTAAACAGAATCATATTTATTAATTATATAGGACAAACTTTTTAACCATGCATGGAATATGGGATATACAGATGGTTGCAAAGTTAAAAGTTAACTTCGTAGCATATTTGCTATTTTTTAAAGGTTAAATGGGGGCAAATCTCTGATATTCTAGTAGTATTTTGAGTTGTGCATGTAGAGAAAACAATTAATTTTTTTTTGAAATGTAATAAAACTGAATAGGATCAACTGGTGACCATGTATGCAACATGCAATGGAACATACACATTCTTAGAGGCAAAAGCTTGATGAATTTTGAAGTACGCTTGCTATTTCATTTCAAATGTTAAATGATGGTAATTGGCAAAGGGTGTAAATTTTCCAAGCTAATCCCGTGCCAGCCAGCCCACAACTGATAGAATGCGGTGGCGGTCCTTTCCAAGCTAATCCCAAAAAACAGGCATGCGTCCTTCGGGACAGGGGAGGATACCAGCCTATCACTCCACTCCGTCTTCGTGCGTAGCATGTGCGCACCACAACTGGTGACCAAGAAACCGAGCACGCACTACACATGTTTCATGTATATATATCTATCTGTTCGAAAGAAAAGATACCCAATATTTGTTAGGGGTTTGAAAATACTCCGCTCGCTAGGTTGATAAGCTATGACTGTTGACTGATTTATTATGAGAAAAAATATTATTTATTAGTTAAAAAATTACCGTTTATAAGTCAAGCGAACGGGACGTTCGTTCTTCCAATAATCCGACCATGCTTCTCTGGATGAGGCCGAGCTGACTCAGAAAGCTGTCTTCCCTATTCAGCCCGCCCATCCTCTGATTCCCGTTATCAAGTCTCGGGGTATAATAAAATACTAAAATACGGTAACGGTAACGGCTTCGTGGTTGTGCTCTCTGCCGAGTCGCCCGGAGAAACGCACGTGCACTGCAAAACTGTGAACGCTTCAAGAAGGTTCCAAGTGTCAACACGAGCGCACGACCCGTTCTGTTCATCTATCTAAAACAGTGATCTGTGCCGACCGGCCATAACGGACGGAAGGCCGGAAGGGCGTTGCCTTTTTACCTGCTCTCCATTGACCGCGTCCGCGAGCCATCATCACGGCAACACGAAACATCCAGCGGTTTGCGGAGCCAGCAGCCATAGGCCGCCCATCACCACGCCAACAGCAACGCGACGAATGACCTTGCGCACGCGGCGACGCAGGCAGATTTGGACGCATCCGCCTCTCTAAATTTCAGCTTCACCGCAAGCCGTCCCGAGCCACGGCAAGTTGGCGACGAAACATCTCCGCAGTCCCGCCAGTCCGCACTCACAGATCAAACCGGCGCCCGGTCGCCGTCCGTGGCCTATAAAAGGCGCGCGTCTGCTCCCGCCGCTTGGCCTCACATCTCACAAGCTACAAGCTCGCGATCCATACACATTCCTCGTGCGATTCGGAAGCTCAACGCGCAGCGTTCGGTTCTCAATTTGATCGGAAGCAGCCTCGCCCTCGCTCAAGGCAAGAAAGCCGGTGTTACTGTTGCCGCCATGGAGCCGGAGATGCAGGCGGCGCTGATGAAGGTCGGCGTGTTCGTGCTGGTGCAGGCGCTGGTGTACCTCTTCCTGTCGCAGTCCTCCACCGTGTTCTCGCGCACCAAGAGCCTCGGCCTCCGCCCCGCGCGGTCGCTCAGCGCGCGCCGCATGCTCGCGCTGCTCTCGTCCGACCTGCCGCTCGCCGCCGGGGAGCCCTCGCCCGTCGCCGCCGCCTTCGTCCGGACGTGGTCCGCGTCGTCGCCCATGCTCGCCGCCGCCCACCACCGGAAGCAGGACTGAGGCCCGCGACCGTGTGCGGTCCGCGTTGTCGCCCATGGTCGCCGCCGCCCAACGGAAGCAGGACTGAGGCCCGCGACCGTGCGACCATGCGGCCGCGTAGCTCATCACTAGTATTCTTTTATTCTTTGGTTTGATCGATTCATTCGTGTCGGTTTGGTTGGGTTGTAATCAAGTACAGCTTACAAATTTCATGGAATTCTGATTTGCGCATCTCACTACTGCTTGTGCTGCATCGTTACAGTCCATTCAAATCGTTCTTGTATTCTGTGGACATTTGTCAAGGATGTCTCGTTGAATTTGTGAATTGAACTGCATGCTGAATGTGACTGCTGAGTGCTGACGCGCCATCTCAGTATCTCACAGTATCACTTCTGAATCGGTCAGAATGATTAGATCATCTGGTGCGAAAGGATTAATAGGGACGATCATCTTCTTTCCTTTTTCACCGAAGACTATAAGCCAATTTAATATTGGCCACACATTGAGTGAATTTTCTCTTACTATAAAAACAGCATCACTGTAACTTATTAAGTTCTGTTTGATAAGCGAGGGCTAATTACTACTTTGTTCGTTCCAAATTATAAGATGTTTTGGTCTTTTTAGATTCATAGTTTTTATTATACACTTAGATACTCCCTCCGTCCTATAAAAAAAAGTCGTTCTCGCTTCTCATAAAGTTAACTATAATTAACTTTCACCAAACATACTAATAGAAAAGGAACTTGCCTGTGTGCAGCCTGCAACGGCCGGGATAGAACTCCACACGTCGACGAGGATCCATTCTTCCAGGCAACAAGAAGATGTTGCGCTGAAACTTAATGTTGCAAGCGTCTATTTCAAGTGTTTCGATTGTTTCAGAGATATGTTGCAAGTGTTTTATCTTGTTGTTGCAAAAGTAGAGCGGGATGTTGCACATGTTGTAATGATTTTTTCAAGTGTATGTCCCAAATGTTTCATTTATTTCAGACGTATGTTGCAATTATTTCACCTGGATGTTTAAAAGTAGATCTAGATGTTGCATATACATGCATGTTGTAAGCGTATAAGTGTTTTAGGTGTTTCGTACGTATGTTTCAAGTGTTTTATCTGGATGTTGCATATCTTTTGCAATGGCTGCAAATGTGATTTCCTGGTGTTTTAGACGTATGTTGCAAGTGTTATAATTATTTTGGACGTATTTTGTAAGTGTTTCATCTAGATATTGTAAAAATAGATCTTGATGTTGCAGTGGGACCCATCTACAGCAGCCACCTACTTGCAGCTGCTGGGCCCGCCTGCATGCCCGTAGGTGTGGAGGGGCGGTATGGTGCAGGCGTGGGACACGAAGCACGCGGGGGCCATGGTGCTGGCACCGGATATGGTGTGGATGCGGGACATGGTGCAGTCCGGGCCCCCATGTGAAGCAGGTGTAGCAGGCGTGGGTGTCCAAACACTAGCCTCGTCCGGACGTCTGATCGCTAGATGTTCCGTAAAAAATAAGTCAACATGTAATCCTCGTGTTTTAACGGACTATAGTTAATATTAGCTGAAAGTTAGCACTTTACAGACATTTAAGGCATATCTATGTTGACGGGAGAAAAATCTTTTAACTGTTCCTTTTCTATTGAATTTCTCTTGAAATATATTATGAACTACAAATTCAATATCTTAAAACTATTTCGAACATGAATATATTGATCGACTGCTATACACTTAATACATAATATAATCTTGACTATTTGTTTGTAGGGAGTAATTAAGTATTTAAAATATTATTTAGTTCACCCTACGAAGCTAATATCTGAACGTGCAAAGCTAGGAGCGTCAGAACCAATACGTATCATTTTACTTACTATATATATTTTGGTTGCAATATTATAGATTTATAACGTGCGCACACAGACATTAATAGCTCAGTTTTAAGGACTCTAATTTTTTTGCAAAAAATATATAAGTATGCGCACAACTGTCTCTGAATAAATTAATTTTTAAAGTTATTTTAAGTCAAACTTTTTAAAATTTGACTAAATTTATAGAAAAGAGTGTCAACATTTATGATATCAAATTAGTATTACAAGCAAATATGCCCGTGCGTTGCAACGGAAGAAAAAAGAACTATTAAACATTTATGCAAAACGATAACGTGAATGGTATATATCTACTTATGTTTTATGCTTTTATATTTTATTTTAAGATGACCATTACATCCATAATATAAGTTAATGTTGACAATAAATAACAATGTCCTTAGTATATTTTTCCTTCATTTGCAAAGCGCATAATTATTTAGATATAAATATATCATAACATTAATTTTTCAACCATGTGTTTCTATGACTCAATATCGATCTGTGTAGCGTTTTTGATGCATCATATCAACCTCCGTAACATTTTTGTCATTGTGTTACGGATTGGTATGTTCGTCAATAATTATGATGGGAGACCTCTCATTATTTTTCACATGGCAGCCCTCGTCAGGAAACAATATGCATACAACATATGCAGGGATGATTTAGCATACCTATAGACAAATCACAACCTAACAAGGTTTATATCATCAATTGATAGATCATATTTTTATGAAGCTAACAAAACTGGTTTGGTATTTTTTTATTTTTCTACGATTTTTGATGAATTTACAGTATCTCTGTTTTTATAGAAAAAAAACAAAAAAGAGTGCTTGCATGGGCGTGATCTAGCCCACAACGAAGCCGGCCCAACTGCAAGGATTCAGCCCAGGTCAGAAAAGAAGCCCACCAGGAGAGGTCCACTCGGATCTGAATATTTTGCATCAGGGACCCCGATCTATTTCGAAAACTATTATGATCCTCTCACCTTTTGTTTCTCTTTGGCATCTTAACATCTGGAACCTGTATTTCTTTCTATTCTCTTTCCCACTCCTAATCTCCATTATCAACGTTAACGCAACATGAATCGAACACTGACGAGCACCCCTAGACTGACACGGAGAATTTTTTTATTTTTAACACTTTTTGTAAACTAATTTTAAATCTAACACTGTTTTAATTTTTTTCAAAATTAACACTTTTGGCCATGCCTATTTCCATGGAGCGGTGAAACGCCTATGCCGCGCCATGCATGGTGGAGCGGCGAGAGGGATTACGTGGCGACGACCGGGGCACTGACCGGTGACGTGGCAGGGCCTGCCGCGCCACCGATCTTGGCGCGGCAGTGATGCGCCCTGATCGGTGGCGTGGCAGAGCCGGCTAAAGGCCCGCGGCCTAGTCCTGCCTGCCTGCCGTTCATGTCCGCCGCGCCTTCGCGCCCACCGCGCCTGCCCACCGCCGCGCCTGTCCGCCTGCCTGCCCGCCACTCCCAAGTGCTGTCGACGCCCGGCCCTCTGTTGCCACATCCCTCCCTCCTCGGCCTCGTTCAAGGTAATGACGCACTTTTTATTTTCGTTTGAATGGTGGATTAAAATATTATGAATGGGAGTTAAGGTTAGGAGGAAAATTATGTTTATGAACTATGGGCTATGGTTTGGAGAAAGATATTAGTTTGATTTTGTCGATATTAAGGTTAATTATTTAGTTAGAAGTATGTTTATCATGTATATTTTGTTGCTATAAGTGTTGGTTATATTATTTGAGTTGCAATGCAAATGATTATATTTTAGATTAATTTGCGCTGTTTTGATTGATGTTTAATTTGAACCGTTTTATTAGATGAAAAACATGTTTCGGGAGCAGTTGTGGCGAAAACGGGGTCGTCCTAGAGAATTGTACCCCGATGAGTCTAACAAAGATGCCCCCGTCCCTCCTGACCTCCCTATCCCTAACTGTGATTGTGGTCGTCCGACCGACGTGTTTTAATCGAGACATCTGGACACAGCGGCTCATTGCTTCTACACATGCAGTCATTTTAATGTAAGTAATTGCTTTCGAATGCTTTTTTCTTCATTTGTATTACTAGGTTACTAATATTTTGTTGGAATTTTGTTGTGTAGGCGCATGAGAGGTGTTTTTTCTTTCAGTGGATCGACGGTGCAGATAAGTTTGACCCTAGGTACCTCCTTTTCGACTATTGGTGGAGAGGGCGACATCCACGAGAGCACTTTGAGCGGTGGGTTCCACCTCCCCCTAACCCTCCTCCAATGACGGCTAAGGAGAAGCACTTAGCCGCAGTTAGATGACTCGAGGAACCTCCTCTGTGCGATTGCGGAGATCGAGCTGTGATAAACCCTGAGAATACGTTGGAGTTTGTGTGTCCAAACAAGCATGAACTAAGTGCAAAGTGTATGTGTTGAAATGTTGAGCTATATGTGTTCATGTACTAATGTCACCTTATTTAGGTGTTTTCAATGGCGAAGTGTCATTTCAAGGAGTGGTTGTATGGCCCTAAGAACCAATGGCCGGAAGAACCGCTAAAGGTTAAGGAAAAGAAGAAAGAAAGGGTAATTTACAAAGCACCTCCTGTCATGTGCGAATGCAGTGTTAAATCCAACTATGGCCTAGTCCCTTTGGAGCTTGGAATAGACCATTATTGCGGTCATATCGTTGACTATGACGAGGTTGGTTTTTTTATGGTAACATGAAATCGTATTTTGTTTCTTTTGCTAAGACATATATGATATAATTTTTTGTTTGAACAGAGCACTAGGAAATACAGGTGGGAATGTTACGATGGTCGAGCTAAGTTCTTGGATGAACTGAAGGGGAGGCAAGTAATTGCACGAAAGAGGGGATATAGACCTAACTACGTCAACCTATTCGTTAAACATCATAAAGACAGGATGCATGAGTTTGCTAGATAGCGCGGTATTCGTAACCCGATCGATGTTGGGCTTGACAAATAGGGATTGGAGAGACGGATGATGTTAGAGGAGGACAGAGCAAGCAAGGAGACAAGGGAGGAGACAAGAGTACAGATGTAGGTCTTGAACGAGCATGTTATTGCATTATGTGGCAGTGAGTGTTTGAAAGCCATTTTTTCATTGCCTGATTTTAAATGTAATATAATCGCATTGCTAACTGATTGTATTTTATACATGAAGGGATTGG